GCATAAACCATTTGTCCTCAGCTTTTCTTTAGGCTCCCTTTAAGTAGCTAAAGACCACATTAAGGTCTTTCTGAATCCTTCTTCTCCAGGCTGAACAACTCCAACTCTCTCAGCCTGTCTTCATAGGAGAAGTGCTCCAGCTCTCTGACCACATTCCTGACCCTCCTCTGGACCTGCCCCAACAGTTCCACATATTTCCTGTGATGAGGACTCCAGAACTGCAAGCAGCACTACAGGTGGGGTCTCACAAGGGAGACAATCACTCCCGCAGCCTGATGGTCATGCCGCTTTTGATGCAGCCCAGGACACGCTTGGCCTTCCAGGCTGTGAGCACAAATTGTTGCCTCACATCCAGCTTTTCATCCATGAGAACACCCAAGTTCTTCTCTATAGGGCTGTTCTCAATGAATTCATCAGTACTCATGTCTGGGATTGCTCAGATGCAGGTGTAGCACCTTGCACCTGGACTTGTTGAACTTTGTCAGGTTACCATGGGCCCACTTCTCAAGCTTGTCCAGGTGCCTCTGGATGGCATCCCACCCTTCAGTGGGATGTGTCAATTGCACCACAAAGCTTAGTGTCATCTGCAAACTTGCTGAGGGTGCACTCAATCCCACTGCCTAAAATACATAATTGATGAAGATATTAAAGAGTGCAGGTCCTACTACAGATGCCCAAGGAGCACCACTTGTCATTCTCTACTTCTGTAGGATGGTGAGGGGTCTGGAGAGGAAGGAGCAACAGAGGTCACTTAATTTGCTCAGCCTAGAGAAGAGGAAACTGAGAGGAGATATCAACATCCTCCTGAGGGGAAGTAGAGAAGCAGGAGATCTCTCACTTTAGTGACCACTGACAGGACTTGAAGAAATGACAAAAAAGGTGAGCCAGGTGAGGTTTAGACTGGATATCAGAAAAGGTTTTTCACACAGAGGGTGGTTGAGCAGGCTGCCCAGGGAAGTGGTAACACCACCAAGTCTGTCTGAGTTCAAAAAGCTCATTGTGTGATTCTTGAGGTGTCCTGCACAGGGTCATGAACTGAACCGGATGATCCTCATGGGTCCCTTCAAACAGAATTTTCTGTGATTCTATTATTCTCTAAATGCAACCACACAACCAATTCATCATCCAATGAGCAGCTCACCTATCAAAATCACCTCTCACCAATTTAAAGAGACAGGTGTTTTGGAGGAGTGTGTCAAAGGCTTTACAGAAGTCCAGATAGATGGCATCCATAATCCTTACCTCATCCACTGGTGTAGCCACTCCATGGCACTCTTCCACTGGACATCTAGTTGATCTGTCAGGACTTGCCCTTAGTGACACCATGCTCACTGTCTAGAGTCACATCCCTGTTCTCCATGTGCCTTAGCGCAGCTTCTAGAAAGTTTTGCTCCAGGCACAGAGGTGAGGCTGACAGGTTGCTACTTCCTGGGGAGCTCCTTTCCAGCCCTTTTAAAATGCATTCAGTGTTTCCCTTTTTCCAGTAACCTGGATTTCACCTGCTGCCAAGACTTTTCAAGAATCATAGAGTGTAGATTGGCAACTACATCAGACAATTCCATCAGGTCAGAAGCATAATAACATCATTCAGTGCAGTCGCAGAGACTTAGGTTCCTCAGGTAGTCACAAAATCAATCTTTCCTTGCAGTGGGAGAGATTTTGTTCCCCCAGTCCCCATTCTGCTCTCTACCACTTGAGAGGTGTGGGAAGACAGATTAGAAGTGAAGACTAAGGCAAAAAAGTTGTTGAGTTCCTCAGCCTTCCACTCGTTCACTCTTACCAGTTTGCCAGTGTTGCTTCCTGTGACCTTCCTTTTCTGGTTAATGTTCCTGTAGAAGCCCTTCTTGTTGTTCTTTGCACCCCTCACCAAGTTCATCTCCAACTGTACCTTGGCTTTTCTGACCCCTTCCTTAGTCAACCAGACAGCATCCCTATATTCTTCCCAGATCACCTATCCCTGTCTCCACAAGGTGTGCATTTCCTTCTTGCCCTTTAGTTTGACCAGCAGATCTCAACTTAGACATGTTCATCTCTTGCTTCCTTTCCCAATTTCTCACACCTGGGGATCCTGAGCTCTTGCACTCTATGGAAGGCACCCTTGAAGATCGGCCATTTTCTGACTCCTTGTCCGTGAGAGCATTTCACAAGGGGTCCAACTAACTCCTTGAAGAGTGGGAAGTTTGCTTGCCTAAAGTTCATGGTCCTGGCTTTACTTTTCACCCATCCCATACCCTTCATGACTGCAAACTCAATCTCTTTTTTTCTTTTGTCAGTGTTAAATCATATGGCTGAGTAGAACACATTGACTTACCACTGAAGGTATAGGATTAAGATCTCCATAAAAAGAAAAAAAGCATAATCTTCAGCAAGAGAAATCTGAGCAACTTCATATATCAAGTTCTTGGTGTCAACTCCTACAGCATTCTTTGCTTACTAAGATGAAAAATCATGTTCCTGAGGGTCTGACATTCACCCTCCTCCCCAACACTCCCACGGCATGCTTTCCCTGTACACATGCTTTCCTCCTTCTGTTCGATTGCCATTCTCCTGTGTTTGCTTCAGTAGCTCCGTGAACACAACTTGTGAAGGGTCTCTTTCACCCACACATTGTTTCAAACATGCTTGAGTATAGCAGTAAGACACACATTAGTCACAGTAGTAACAGATGGCAATAAATGCAAAACCTCTCCCTGTATTTTCTTATTCTACTTCCAGACTGTGGTGCAGAAGGAAGACTGTTAGCAAAGCAAGCTTATTGCTACAGGCTTATAGCACCACCATGAATTAACCTCTTCTGAAGGCAAAAGACACTGTTAGCAGATGCCTGAAAAGAATTCCAGAGAAGCCTGCGGAAGGCTGATGGTAAAAAAAAAAAAAAAAAAGTTTATTTATTTACAGACTTTCAGTGGCACACCAGAACATCTGCCAAACACAGATACACATAGACAGCATGGCAGGCTAGACCAGGACAGGCATTTGTTTACTAAAATTAACAGCACTTGCTAGACCTCCTTTCTGATTCACTCTGGCTGGACTTGCAAGATGGAAATAAAAACAATACTGTCCTTCATAAGCCTCAAGGCTTATGAACAAGATATTAAAGATGATATTTAAGAAACCTAAAATAGACTCACTGCAAAAGGCTTGGGGCAAGATTAAAAGCATATCCTTGATAAGAAATCTAACCAGATAGTCTAGGAAAGCTACATAAAAAGAACATTCAGGAAATCTATCAAAAAAAGAATATTCCTTCATTTCCCGAAAAGAACTTTCCCCGTGTCCATTTTGCCAATTTCTCTGATGCATCAACACTTGCCTTATTAGCCTCCTAACAGGTACCTGAACATTCACTATAATTTTCCTAGATTTAGGTCTTAAACAGAAAGCATCTTGATCTTAAAATATAAACATGCATTATTCATTACATTAAAAAAATCCCTGCCTTCCTTATTTATGACTTGAGATCATTCTTTGTCCAACAGCAATAACACATATGTGAACTGGAACATGGTGAAAAAAAAAGGAAAAGGTAATTAGCACAACATGCTAACACAGAAAACTCCAATAAGTTTACAGAACTTACTAGAGTTCCTTCTGCTGCTCTTACTGCTTTGTCAAGATTGGCCCTCATTTTGACCATCCTAGGTGTTGAAAAGTGTTTTGCTTGCTGAGTAGGTTCTAGGGTAAACATTACCTCCTGTCTCCCTAGTTTGCAAAGACACCTTCTTCATCAGATTTCTTACATCCACCACAGCTCAAGACATAGGTCTAGCACGAAGATTGAGCTGGTGGTCAGACCTCTACATAGACCTCCGTAGTAAATAAACACTCATGTCAAAACTCCAGAAAACTTCTGCAGCATTGCATGGTGTTTGTTTTATTCTTTTTGAACCGTTCCAGACACAACTTAGTTCACTATCCCCTATACATTTGTTACTTCCACTCCACTGTAGAATGTCAGAGGACATTATTCCTTCTTCTCAGATTTAGGAACATTGTATTGTCTTTCTGCTTTTAACAGGAACATGCTCATACCCTATATACTCATTCCTCAAGATACTCATAGCCCTTATACCTTCTCACCCACATGAGCTAACCATTTTACCCAAGGTAGCTGTAAGAAATTAATAGGTGAAAATCTCTTCTTCAATCAGTAAGGATTTTGGTTGGCTGAATTTAAGCCCAGGGACAAGCCTGAGTTTAGGGTAATGCATTGTAGCATTATTACTGGAAGATTATTACAGACACAGAACTGAGGGACTGTCTGCATATATTTGCTATATTGATGCAGGAGACTTTCTGCCTTGTAAAGTGAATTATCACTCTGCCAACAGTTTAGAGACACTACTTTTGTTGATGACTGCCACCCCCCAAATACTTTTGGGCAATCTTTAGTTCTAAAAAAAAGATGTTATGCAAAGCCAATCTAAATGCTTCCATATCAGAACACAAAAACAAGTTCACAAGTCCACAAATCCACAAAACACTGATATCTATTAAACTCATTCAAATCTACAAATGCACCATAAATATTATTGTCCACTGTTCTGTTTTCCCAATCTAAGTTTAAGCAGTTTTTTTAGAAGTCTGCATTACATATCTTTAAAGAAACTTGATACCTTAGGTTCAGCAAAAGAATATGTTAATTTTTTAATTTGTCCAGGATACGCAAGCACAGAAAAGTAAAACTGAATTAAATCACAGAAGAAAACAATTATTTTTTTAGATGTTGAAGTACTTTACAAGGAAACAGCCAGGAATTTTGTCACTTTTTTGAAATCAGTATTATCCTTGTAAACTCATACCCAGTTCAAACTGTGAGGGAAAAAAAACTGCTCTGCATTTAATATTCTTCACTCATTTCAACTTGAGTTATTTTCAATATGCATCAGATAAAAAGTACCATCATGCATAGAAAGATGTCTTCCTCTACACAGCAGTACCATGTTACCTTTCAAAATTCAGTTAAACTGATTATAAAGAATATACAAGGAGCTTACCTTTTACACCACCAAATGGGCCATAAGTCATATTACAAGCAGTTCTCTGAAGATTGTGCTCATACATCAGTTTAATCTGATACTGGTTCCCATGCTCCACATTCCCCTGAGTTCCTACAAAAAAACAAAGGGTAAATATTTATTAATTTGATCCACACACTATGGAAAAAATAAAGGAATATCAGTGTAAACAATCTGAAGAAAATGTTACTTAATTTCTAGTGACTTTTGAGATATGAAGGCTCACATTGCTGCTTTCTGAAAAAAAAAATCATCAAGCTACAAAATTCCTAAAGGCCAGAATCAGAAATAAGGTGTTGTTATACTATACATGGTATAAAGGCTTTGCAAAATGCTGAGAATTTATTATTTAAATGTATTTTTCATATTGGGCACACCTCCAAGATCAAAAAAAAAGCTATAATTCCCCCTGCTCAAAGGGAAATTCTTATGATTCTCTAGCTATTTGGTAAATAGACTATATCTAACAGTTTCAGCTGCAATAGTCTTTTAGTCTTTGTCTCAAATTAAGTTGTAGTTGGTCATTAGCTACCACTTGACAAAGCTGTGTTTAGGGCACACTCATCATTTCCTTTTACTTTGTCTGAAATTGAAGGGAGCAATCAGCAATGCAAAGATAAAATACAAACAAAGGATAACGAAAATAATTTTGTGATATATGTCACATTCTCTGAAAAGGCCTGCATAAATTTTAACTTCCTGATTCCTTCAAGGACCTACCAGAAAATAAAAGTCTTTCTAAAGAAACTGAAATTCCTCTTTTGAGAATCATGTTTTTCCTGAAACCCAAGAAGAAAGTTCACTACATAAAGTAATACTTAAGGACTAATATTAGCAAACAAAAAAAAAGTAAACCAAAATCTTTGAGAATAGCCACATCAGCTGGGAATAAAGGTGCTTTCTGCTAAATCTTACCACAGCTTTAATTTCATACAAAGATTATTCCAACAACTTAAACAAAATTCTATGAAAGATTTGTAGCTTATGCTTACATTTTAGGCAATTTCTCCAATCAAACCAAAATTTTAAACAGTTTAAATCAGTTTTAAACAATTACCCCTAAAGCAGGCCCACGTTAGGGAAAAGACTGGAATAGACATGAGGGAAAAAGCTCTGCTGAGTAGTAACTAGAAAATCAGAAACACTTCAGGATAAACAAGTCACAAAGAAGTCAGTCTGTGTATATTGGCAATAATACAATATCAAGGCATACTTTAGTCAGCCCTGAAGGATGCTTTCATGTGTCAAAAGAAACAGCATAGCAATTTTTATTATGAATAACAGATATGGTAGCATGTATAAAGCAAGTAAGGATTCCACTTTATCAAAGTGGAATTTGCCTTAAAAGCATAAAGAAGTAATGATAGTTGTTTCTCAGAGAAGCTTGAGAGTATCCACTCAGATAACAGAAATTACCATTAAAGTATGACTGCTTACAGATTAGTATGAAAAGTCTATTAAAAGAAAGCAAAATTTACTTTTATTATTACTTAACTGCTTAAGCCATGTAAACTAAACAGCAAATTATAACTACTAAAGACTTCTAGACTTAATGTTGTATGCTCTTAATGAAGATTTTAAAATAAATTGTTTTAATAAAAATCACACTGGTAGGCTACAATCCTAAGGCATAAACATTATTACAGCAAAGAGAAAGCACAAAAACTGCAGTACATCTCAAAGAATCCCTCCTCAGCAAAGACCACTTTCACAGGTGTCTCCAGATAGGCAAAGAGAGCACATTTTTGTAACCTGACTACAAGGCTGTAAATAGGAAAAAGCTTCTCCTACAAGAAAACCATGCTCTTGTAATGAAAGAAATAACAGAGTATGTCCCTGCATGCAGAAAATGAACAATGCCATGTTTTCTATTGAATTTTGAAGATGGGTATACCATTGATAGATCTCTTAAATCTGTGCTTTGCTTTGTGCATATAGAAGAAAAAAATCAAAGCACAGAATATGTATTTCATGACTAGGCTCTTCACACACAGAGAGAGAACACATCATATAGAATTTCTAGCCAAAGCCAGTAGAAAAAAAAAGGATTTAAGACAAAGCACAGTGGTTTCACCTTATTACAAGTATTAACCTCCTGTCTTCTCATAGGCTACCTTACTAATGTTCTGGCTTTCTAAAAAATTAATTGGACTTCTGAGTTCAGAAAGAATCATAATTGTTTATTTTTAAAGAGCTAAGTAGGTTGGCATTTTACAACCATTTGTTCATTAGCATGTTGAACAATAACACCAATTCATAAAACCATAATGAGAACTAGTCGTTCACAATCACTGCTAACCACAGACCATCACACACATCACAGCATCTCAGGCATGGAGCAGATCAGCAAATCTCTCCTCAACCTAATTACTAGTGTCTCCTCTTCATATGTGGGCTTGAGTGAAAGAACATGACTGCAGATCTTCAGTGATGATGGGCAAACATTGTATATACCAAGTTTAACATTAACCTAATTCAAACTTCAGAATACACTTAAAATTGCTGGAAAGTTTGGATCTGTAAACTAACCTGAAACAGCATACACACAGAGTTTTCGGCAATGCAACACAGCCAGATGAAGTCCCTCAGTACCACTGTAAAGAAGGGTATGAAAAACACTGTTTTCAGATAAATCAAAATAGAATTCATACAGGATAAAATTCAAGTAACATGTTGACATTGTTCTCAAGTGTAGGCCAAATGCAAAGGTTTGGGTGTTAGATGCTAGCATAAAAACTTGGAAGTACTGATCTTCCTAAATTCATGCTGAAGTAATTCCAAAATCAAAATTAATCCTTTAAGAACATATTTTGGGATTCAAATGTGAAGAGCAGCCCCATTATTTTTCCAGTTTAGTTTGAAATTCATCTGAAATAAGGTGCTATTGATCCTTCATGAAGGGATGATATGTGGATCATCCCTCCAAACAAGCATTATTCAGCGATATCAGACACAAACTTTTCTTAAATTCACTTCTATACTAGCTGAAAGAACCTACAAACCCTCACATTCTTCTTCCTCCAAACACAAATTGTACTTCTAACAAAGTACTTGTGATGTAAACACAGAAAATGTTTTATCTCATTTCACAGAGTAAGACATTATGATTCGTGCAAAGGGTCACTCCATGAGTACTTGAGCCTTTGGTCTCAGTGCATGACCGTTTCCCATGATTAGTACAGATTTTACTTTCATTTTTTAAATAATGTTCATGCTACAGTATTAGAAGTTCATTTCAAAATTAAAATTAATCCTTCAAGAACTAATTTCTAAAATAAAATTCTCCTAAGTAGATTCTCTTAGTGCCAATTAACTATAAGGTGTTTTCCTTAGAGTCACAGTATCGCTCCTCTACCCGGCCACACGTTTCCATTAAATTCTTTGTAATTAAGGATCTTCTATCCTCTATCAAACAGGAAACAATTGGCCAGCATTACATCCTAGACCATAACAAGTTAGTCAAGTATTCTTAACACCTTAAAATATAACTTTCAATGTTAAGCTTTTCCTGTTCTACATACTTATAAAAAATTGTATAACTATCTGGAAGATTATGCTGTTGCAGTGTGTTTCTTGTTAATGGTATGTTCTGTTATTGCCCAAGTTGATGGTTTGGTCCAAATGAGACCTCCCCCACCCCACACTGTCAATCTAACCTGAGTCTCCTGTCAATCTATCTTAGGCCCACCACATGCTTGAAATTCCACTTCAGAAATCCCCTAAACTTTGAGGCTTCACTAGTCCATGTGACCCAGTTTCCCCCCGCCACCTCCATCATCGGATGACGATTTTGTGAACTCTGCCTTTTATCCTCCCCAGAACATCTCTGATTAGCTGATGCTTTGTACCCTCCCTTTGAACTGCCTCCCTATTTCAGCTGCTGCACACTCGCATTTTCTGTCTTTTGCCCCCAAGATTCTCCAGAGCAATAAATCCTCTATTATTCCATGCAAAAGACCTCCCTCTTGTCCTTGCCTCCTCAGAGCTCAGGACTGAGGAGGCCAAAAAGGCAGACTGACAGCCAGAAGGCCTTAGAGCAAGTGCTCTAGTGGCACCTCGGGTCATCCTGCTCCTGGGGCGTGACCCACTCCTGGCACAGGCCAAAGTGATAGAGCCAGATAAGCTCCAGCCCGATGCAATATTGTCCTCTTTATATATACCTTAAGTAAAAATTCTCTCACATGAAGATGATTCAAGAAGCAATTCAAATGCATATTATAGGATTCATAGATGTGATTAATAGTTGTCCATCTAGAAACTGAAAACTCACCCTCCAAAACAAAGGAAGAAAATCACATCTAAGATTTAAATAAGCAGCACCATAGCCTGCTATTTACTTACGAAACAAATTTTCCCACTTCAACCTGCAATATTGGTTCTCGTAACTGCACTTCCAAGAGCAAGTCTTCAGGTTGTACTTCATCTCCAGGTTTCACAGGATGTGGATTAAAGATTCGAAGATATCCCTTGTAACTGCCCACAATAATTTTATCTAAACAAACAAACAAATAAAAACAACATATAGGATACTACACAATACAATAGCTCATGTGGAATTCAATTTGCTGCAGAGAGATTCAAATAATACCCTAAAAAGATAGAATATTGACATGATTCAATTAATGTTCATTATGCTCTGTCTTCTAGTTTAACTTCAGCAATTCCATTTTTTGCAGGTCCGTGAATGCAACACCAATTTTGCAGCACCAGTGATGGCAGCAATAGGGTTGAGTGCTTATGGGTAAGAATCAGGGAGAAGGGCAGTGAGGCAGATGTCATGGTGGGAGTCTGTTACAGACCACCCAACAAGGACAAAGAGGCAACAAAATAGTCTACAAGCAGCTTGAAGAAGTCTCACAATCATCAGCCCTTGGTCTTTTGGAGGACTTCAGTTTTCCAGATGTCTGCTGAAAATATAACACAGCAGAGAGGAACTGTCTAGGAGATTCCTGGAGCGTATGAAAGGTAACTACCTTACACAACTGGTGAAGGAGCCAACTAGGGAAGGTGCCCCACCGGATTTGCTGTTTCTGAGCAGAGAAGAATTTGTCAGTGGTGCGATGGTTGGAGGCTGTAGTGGGCACAGCAATCACAAAATTTTAATTTTGATTCTTATAGAAGGAAGGAAGGTAACAGCAGAACAGCTGTCATGGGCTTCCTGAGGGCAGACTTTCACCCATTTAGGAGACTGGTTGACAGAGTCCCTTGGAAGGCAGTCTGAAGGGCAAAGGGACCCATGAAGGCTGAACATTTGTAACAAATGAAGTCTTAAAAGGACCAGACCATCCTCCAGTGACAAAAGACAGGTTTGCAGGGAAGAATACCATCCCAGCTGCACAGAGCTTTGGCTGGAACTCAGGAAAAAGACGAGATACGACCTTTGGAAGAAGGGGCAGCTGAATCTGTGGGGCTGAATCAGCTGAATTGTAAGGTTATGTAGGAAGAAAATTACAAGGGCCAAAACCCAACTCAAACTTAATCTAGCTACTACCATAAAAGACAATAAAAATGTTTCTATCAATACATCAGCAACAAAAGAGAATCTCCATTTTTTATTGGATATGGGGGGGGAAACATAGTGACAAAGGATGAGGAAAAGGCTGAGGTACTTGGTGATGCCTTTGCCTAAATCTTCAATAGGGCACCAGTTGTTCTCTGGGTAACCAGAGCTGGAAGACAGGAACAGGAAGCAGAATGAGGCCCCTGTAATGCAAGGGGAAAGGGTCAGCATTCTGCTACATCACTTGGACACAAACACAAGTCTATGGAGCCAGATGGGATCCACCCAGGAACACTGGGAGTGTGTAGAAGTGCTCACCAAGACACTCTCTGTCATTTATCATCAGTCCTGGCAGACCAGGAAGCTCCCATTGACTGGAAGTTAGTAAATGTGATGGCCCATCTACAAGAAGGGTCAGAAAGAGGATCCAGGGAACTATAGGCCAGTCAGCCTGACCTCAGTACCAGGGAAAGTCACAGAGCATATAATCTTTAGTGCCATCATGCAGCTTGTATGGGACAACCAGGGGATCAGACCCAGCCAGCAGGGTTTTATGAAGTGCAGGTTCAGACCAACCTGATCTCCTTCTATGACAAGGTGACCAGCTTAATGGAAAAGGGACAGATTGTTGATGTTGTTTACCTCAACTTTAGTAAACCTTTGACAGCATTTCCCACAGCATTCTCCTGGAGAGAAACTGGATAGCCACAGCTTAGATGGGTGTACTGCTTGCTGGGTAGAAAAGTGGCTGGGTAGCTGAGCCCAGAGAGTGGTGGTGAATTAAGTTACATCCAGCTGGTGACCAGTCATGAGTGACATTTCCCAGGGCTCAGTACTGGGGCCAGTTCTGTTTGAGATCTTTATTAATGACCTAGATGAGGGGATCAAGTGCACCCTTAGTAAGTTTGCTGATGACACCAAGTTGGGTGGGAAGGTTGATCTGCTGGAGGTAGGATGGCTCTGTAGCAGAATCTGGACAGGCTGGAACAATGGGTTGAGGCCAATCATATGAAGCCCAACAAGGCCAAGTGCCAGGTCATTCACTTCAGTCACAACTCCATGCAACACAACAGGCTTGGGGAAGAATGACTGCAAAGCTGCCCAACAGAAAAGTACCTAGGGTGATGGTTGATAGCAGCTGGAACATTTGCCCAGGTAGACAGGAAGGCCAATGGCATCTTGGCTTGTACCAGAAAGTGTTTGGCCAGAGAACTATTGCCCCCCTGTAGTCAGCAATAGTGAGGTTGCACCTCAAATACTGTATTCAGTTTTGGGCCCCTCACTACAAGAAAGTCATGGAGGTAGTGAAGCATGGCCAGAGAATGGCAACAAAGTCAGTGAAGGGCTTAGACATGCACCAGGACCTGTAAAACCTATATAGGATATTAGGAAAAATTTAACCAAAAGAGTTGTGAAGCATCAGAAGAGACTGCCAAGGGAAGCGGCTGAATCACCACTCCTGGTGGCATTTAAAAGACATGTACACATGGTGCTCAAGGACACGGTTTTGTAGTGAACATAGTGTTAGCTGATGGACTCAAAGATCTTTTCCAACCTAAATGACTCTAATGAATTTCTACCGAAAAAGGTTGTGCACCAAATCAGTAACAGCTCAGCTTTATTCAAATTGTCTTGAAAAGGAAGAATCTTACATTAAAATAATTTTACAAGAGTCTGGCAGCAAGGAAGTCAAACTCGGGTACCTCCACCAGGTAAAAACAAAATTCCAAGGTGAGCATGATATCATAAAGACACCAAGAATTTATTAATTTTAAAAAAATACACACACAACAACTCTCCCTGACAGCAAAGATCATTTCACATAATTAATGACTACACAGAAATGCAGGGTTTACTCAAGCCGAGTTACTTACTTTGATTGTCACTTATTTTCCAGATCAAAAGGGTTGTTTATTTGTTTTTCTAAATTCTTAACTCTTTAGCTCTCACCTTCCTTTTTTCTTCCCATGGTTTTTTACAAGTCACAATGTGTTTTCTCCCATTACTAACTGAAAATTCTTTATTTAAAAGATATCTACCATTGAGGGAATAAGACATGAGAGAAGTTACTAGTGAACACAAGCATGAATTAACATATTTAGCAGCATACAAATATAAAAAGACAGAGAGCACTGAATTTGTCTTCTTAAGCCTATAAGGACACATTAAAGATAGCAGACCTAAAACTAACTAGCCAACTAGCCTGGCTAACAAGCTTTCAGCATGCATTGGTCAAAGCAAACCTACAGCTGTGTGGCTTAAAAGCCAGCAATTTCAAGTCTGAATTTACCTTGTCCACTGCCACTATTATCAACATCAGCAACACATAGACAGCCTTGGTCAAATTCTTCCTTTTCTCCAAGTATGGTGGACCACCAGTCTCTAGCTTTAAACAAGGACATTCTTCTTTACTGAAAAGGAAACAAAACATTGTTAAAGTTTATACTAACACATGCAACTATTTATACAAAAAACCTTTTTCTTTGTTAAGCAACAGGTTTCCTTAAGTATATTACACCTCTTGGTTTCAAATTGCGCTAGTGTGAGCTAAGTGAATGTTAATTCCAGGTGTCTGGAGTTTCTGGTTATACAGTTCAGAAAATAACCTCAGGAATCTTATAGTAATTAGTTGAATTAGTTGTGATAGACACTACTAGTTATATGAAGAAAATGCAACAAAATAACTGACTTTTAAAAACTGTTAAATCTAAATGCCTTCTGTTACAAGCACTAAGTAAAAGTTTTCAAAGTCACAGAACTAAGGTCTCTTCTCTCACCAAGGAGTACCAGCGGGGGGAAAAAAAAAAAATCTGATGCAAGTCTTCTGCAAGAGAGATTATTTTTAGACAAGTAAATGGAGACATAAACAGACGACATCAAAACTTCCACCGCATAATCGCCTTGAAGATGCTCCAGTGACACGACTAAAGAACTCGGTCATACAGGGCACAAATCAGCTTTTCTGCTCCCTACCTGATGTTATTTTAAGAGGGGGGGAGGGAAGGAGCGAGGAGACTAATCCCTTTGGGCAGCTCGACAATACCATTATCCTAGTTCAAAACTGCCGGCTCCGTGCCTAGAGACCCGGGCACACTCGCTCCCACAGCCCGCACAGGAGGCGAGGGGCTGCCATGCACCGGCAGCTCCAGCGGGAAGAAGGGCAAAAGACGAGATTCGGAAGAAACGCAGCCTGCACGCCCGCGTGTTTCCCCTTTCAAGGAAACCAAGTCCGGCAAACAAAACCACTTATTTTCTACCTTTTTCCCGTCGCTATGCCCGCTAGGCAACCTGCTACCGCCGAGTGCGGGCTGGCACAGCACTGCCGTCCGCACACACCCCCTCACTCCCTCCCG